TTAAAAAGCCCGGGGTCTTTTTTTTTTTTTTTTTTTTTTTTAAGACGACCATACAGCTTGGGGTAAAAAATAACCATGTTCGCGAGCACTCTTAAATACACTTGCGATTTCGCCATGGCGATGCTCGGCCGCATTGACTTCCAACGTCACCTTCTTCTTTTGGCGGCCGGGCGTTTGCCCTTATCATTTGCTGAGCGGAATCATCAATGACAGCATGCGCGTGTTGATTGAGTGACGGGACTTGCCGTTGCACTAGCGGTGGCACTTGTGGGAAGCCCAACAGCAATTGAATAGGTTGTTCTGCCGACTCGTCTCTCTTTCTGCAAGACATGTACTGTTGCAAGAGGTTGTGCTCCATTGCATCATCCACATCCGGCAGGTGCCGAGACCAACTCCGGTTTGCTCAAACACTTGGCCCGGGGTCGACGCTCAACTGTAGCTGCCCTCGAAGGGACATCTGGACGGTAGCGCCGAAGAACAGGACCGGTGACCACAGTCGGTCGTCTCCGGGTGAAAGAAATGAAAGAAACACGGCACCTGTTTTCGATGGAAAATTGCCTTTCCGCCCGGGGGTGCCCGCAGATGAGCAGGTGTTGATCATGTGGGGAACCAAGATGTATCTTTCAGTTGGCCAAGTCTTGGCACTTCTTGAAGCTGTTGTCGGCGCCCAGCGAGTTACTGCCGTACATGGCCGTCCCTCTCCGACCAAGAGATTCCGAGCTTTCGGCATCTTTGTGGGGTATTCCGTCTCCCATGTGGTCAACTGGTATGTGGTGCGTCTGTCGCAGTGCTCCGTAGACTATTCCCAACGAGGGAGGCCGTAAAGCAACCACTCCTTGCAAGAACTGGTCCGTCCGTATTATAGTCTGGTCCCCCTGGCCCGCATTTTATTGCGTAGACTAGTCGCTGTGGGCAGTCGGATTCTCACCTGCGACTCCTCATCTGCACACAACCTCGCGTACACGGCGAAACGCAGAACTTTTGCAAAGTGCAGCGACATTGCACCCTGTCAATGGTAAACGTCTCTGATTCCCCCTGTATGCTGTTACTTTGAGCACGAATTGTAAGATGCCTCAGGGTTGTTTATTGCGTGCTGGATTAATGGCCAGCTCCGCTCGTTGATGCAAATCTCGTCAACATGGTATGGAATGAGCAAATACATTTCAATTCACAGGTTTCAACTACACCAGCGACTTGGAGCGAGTGGCTACAGGCAGAATCGACAAAGATCATAAAGACCCAAAGCCACTGGGATATCCTAAAAGCCCGCCACGGTCGGCAACTCGGCGGATGAAGAAAAAAGTCTGGTACAAGCGCATTCCCACTCTTGCGGCCCGGCTCTCTCTCTCTCTCTTCACCCCGGCACAACATCACCCCCAACACGGGCTACATGCGTCCTCTAGAGCGAGTAACCTTGCCAAAATTAGGCCTTTTCAGTATTCTGCTGCTTGGCCTCGTGGTACAGGGGCGGGCATGTCTCGTTTCGGCGCCAGAGGAACCATCTCCTAAACCACCAAGGAAGCACAGTCCTGAGCTGATACTTGGCATGCGTGCGATCAGGCACGGCAAAGACGTAATCGAGCTCCTCCAGAGTCTTTTGTTTCGTCTCCGGGACGAACAAGAAGATGAGCACGAGAGCCACGAGGTTCAAGCCCGCGTAGAACCCAAACGCGCCGGTGGGAGTCATGGCACTGAGCATGCGTGGGAAGGTGAGCGAGAGCACCGCAGCCCAAAAGTTGTTTGTCGCGACGGCCCAGGACATGCCGACCTCGCGATGCGACAGGGGAAACACCTCTGCCGAGTACATGAAGGGCACAGGACCCTCGCCTAACTCGCAGAGGATCTCGTTAGCCGTTTTGAAATCGTTGGGCTCGAGGGCTCTCTAGTGGCAAACCTACCGGGAGAATAAAACGCGGCAAAAAGATAGACAAAGGTGGCAACCGAGGCGATTCGCGCAGTGCTGTTTTCGACGCCCTTGTCAATCAGGTAACAGAGACCGGCGACTACGGAAGCATTCATGTCAGCATGAGGGGCTCAGAGTGTGCGCCCGTGGCGAATACATACCGAGAAGTGTCCAAAACATGTTGGGAAACGTAAAGAGCAACAGCGCGCGGCGACCAAACGTGTCGATTGTCCACACGGCCGGCCAAGCAAAGAGGAAATTGATCAAGCCGAAGCCGAAGCTCGCCCAGAGAGCAGTGTAGTCATCAATACCGCTTTGCTTGAAAATGGTGCTGCTGTAAAAGGCAATGATGTTTACTGTAGCGAAACGCCCGGGTTAGTGTTTTTGCCGATTTATATCAAGGGATAGATCAGGGGGGCCGGCGGTTCCTGGCCACGTACTTCCGCACATTTGCTGCGCAATCATGACGATGCCAGACGCCCACGTAGCTCGGCGAACCCGGGGGATGGTGAAGAGCTCGACGAATCGAGTAAAGACGTTGCTTGTAACCTTGAGACCAGACTCCTTGACGAGTTCGACTTCCTGCTCCAGCAGGCAGTTGATGTAGAACAAGTCTCTGGCCGCTTGCATGGGCGTGTTTCGAAGGCGGAGGAGCGATTTCCACGCCTGATCATATCGCTTCTTCTTGAGACACCACCGGGGACTCTCGGGGCAGAAGAAGACTCCAATGACAAGGGGGACGGCGGGGATAAAGGCCGACGCAAACTGCAGGCGCCAGGCAATATCGCCAGTTTTGCCAACCGCCAGGTTGGCGCAAGTACCCAAGAAGATTCCTGACAGGGGAGGGGCTGTAAGTATCGTGTTTCTGTCGCGAGTAGAAAAAAAAAGAGAGAAAGGGACTGAAAACTTACCAAAGGCTGTCCACATCTGCCACGACATGACGAGACCGCCGCGGATGATGGCGGGTGAGTTTTCGGCGGAAAACACGGGCACGGTAACCTCTTTCAGACCCATGCCAATGCCGAGCAGCATTCTGTAAATGCAGAGTTAGAGGGGAACAAGCCGTGTCCGAGACTACGAGAGCGTACCTGCAGGCTGCGAGCTGTCCCCAGGTTTGCGACAGTCCCATGCCAAAGGGCGCAAGCAAGGAAAAGACTGCGGCGATGAAAATAACGCCACGGCGGCCGAGCAAATCGTTCAAAGGGTCAGAAATCCAGCCGGCACTATCATGTTTCGCCGACACATTAGGTTCATGTTCGTTTCCCACGACGTGGCCCATTTGGGAGGCAATGTCTACACTCACAAGAGACAAATCGTTATGTACGGCATGGCGTTTGTGAAGCCAACGATCCAGCTATTCTTGGCACATTCTCCTTCGTTGGCCACCGGACCGCACGAGGAACCCGCACTATCGGGGATTCCCAAGGCCTGCGGAAAGCTCAAATTCGCTCCATTGGAACCAGTCTGCCAGTCAGGCGCATTAGTCTCGGTGTCGTCATGTAAGCACGGTTGGGCGGCACAGCTGCGCCGACTTGTCAAGGTTTACCTGATCCCATCCCTGGATGGCGGCCGCAATCGAGTTGAGGATGATGGTATAGTACAAAGGCCAGGGCTGCTTCCATCTGTGAGTTGTTTCCTCGCGAAGGGCAGCCTTGTCAGACTCGTCCAGGTCTTCAATGGCCTCAAAGTCGGCAGGGTTCTGCGCAACGAGCGCGCCCTTTTTCAGAAGCGGAAGGATGTCTTCCGGGAGCCCTTTGTCTTTGTGAAACCGGTTGACCTTTTCAAGCAGCTCATCCCGAGGAATATCCCTCAGGGGATTCTCGATTTCGCCCTCTATATTCTCAACCAGGCTCACTCGTCTTTGGTGCGAGACCTCCTTGCTAACAGCGTGATTGACACTCCTGGTCTATGTGTTAACAACAACAATAAAGAAGAAAAAAAATCATTGACAGCAAGCGGACAGCGTGGTCACGACTTACTCATCGGCCACTACGGCCTTTTCCGGAACATCAGAAGCCATGGTCAACTGCTCGTCTTGTGCTACCAACTTGGTGAGTTGAGGAGAGCGTCGGGTTGGCAATGTTGTTTAATTCAGTCGTCATGGAGGAAGAAAAAACCCAAGCGATCCGGGGGGAAAGTAAAGCAACTGGACTCAATGTTATATTTCCGCGTCTTACTTACTTGACAGCTCTTTATTAAACGCAACGCCACATCACGCAGGTGGCTGCATTGGGGGGTGCGGAGGGCGCGAGATTTTCCAGCAACAACCCAACTTATTGTTACACCAGTTACCATCCAGATTTAGCCAAGCCCTCCTGTGATACAACGGCACTTGGACCTATAAAACGGCATCACAGGCCACACCCCCACGGGTTTTGCTAGTCCGTCAGCCTGCAGCAAGGGCCGCAAGTGGTGCCATGGCAAGCATCTGGCCACATGACCAGCACGGGTAAGATTCAAGGCTTGATACCCAACTGGTCGCAACTCGTAGATTGTGGCAACCAAGTTTTGCTTAATGAGCTTCTTTCTAAAATACAAAAACGCCTGGAGCTGTTAGTGTGTCGCGTCGGCGGCTGACATTGAACTGGTGCCTCTTGTGTCACCCCAGACGTTGTAAAACAAAGGAAACTCGCACCAACATGCATACAAGAACATTAGGCAGCAGCATTTCGACCAGTTGTTGTGGCTTTCCGAGTTTGGTATTGGAGAGGGGGCAAAAGCAAGGAAGAGCTGAGCATGGGATGGCTCGGCAGCCAACGACGCCATTCTCTTGACGGTTACGGTACAACAAAAGCAGTTATACTTTGACAGTCGAGAGCAACCAGAGCAAGAGAGATGCCAAGAGATGAGGTTGAAATCCCCGGGCACTTGTCTTCTCCATACTCCACAAACCTTGCCAAGTCTCTTGACGGACGGCATTGTCGGCACTAGCGTCAGTAAGCAAGCCTCGAGTGGGGAAGAGAGGGACTCGATCGTTGATTGACTGCGGAATAATAGCCGTGTCAGGCTATTGCCAGGCTCGAAAGCTGCTGCCTAGCACAATGCGCTGCCGTAGGAAGGTGAAGCAACCCCCAGACAGCCCGGCTGAGATGCAGCGTATATTTTATCGTGTGTTGGAGTAAGCTGCAAGTAGTTGTAATTACATGAATCAAGCCCGACAACGGAGCAGCGTGGGCAGAGAATGAGGCCACTGTGATGACACTCTTTCGAGTAGTGATGATGTAGTTGCCAGCTTCCACGGTCCGTGGAGATAATATTAACCATGAATGACGGAGCACAAGTTGCACTTACATGATGGAAAACAAAAAGCAAGCATTAATCGGGGAGGCGCTGAGGGCGCAAAAAGGGAGGTGTGCCATCCCTTTGCGCCTTTGCGTGGCGTTGCTTCCAGGGCACCAACACATTGGGCTTGCCGTCGCATCCTTGCTGTGCACTCGTTTCTATTGAGGCCCAGCCCTTCATATTGTGCTGCTCTCCCCGTCGGCTTCAAACTGGACCCCAAAAGCAAAATCAACCATCTCGGACAGTGCGCCGCGGCGCAAAATGCTTCCCAGTCGGAGCTGCGGCACTGGCAAAGGGCGTTCTGGGAGCGGCGGTGGTGGCGGCGACGCCTGCTCATCCTGGTGGAACCAATCTCGTTTCTCACAACATTGAAGGGCTTGGATACTTAAGGAAGTCTTTTGGATTGTTGTACCATTACGGAACCATGGCGTGTGCGCTTGGTGAAGGAACGGCAAACGCACGAAGCACTGTGATGTAGATGACTCGCAGAGTATGGGAGAGCTTGGACAAAGAAATAACATGAATAATCTCCACTCGTGGGGTCTCTCCTTTTCACCCTTTATACAAGAAGAAACCAGTTTGTGCGTCCGAGGCCGCCTCACAGGCCAGAACTTGTACGTGCGGCATCGAGGTTGGTGGCGACAAGGTTCAGACGTGGCTCAAGGAGACGGGCCAGACGTTCTACGCCAGGTGATGGAAGGACGGGTCAGGAGGTCATCATCAGCTCCGGCGCGGCTTGTCGCATCAAACATGTCAAAGCACGAAGCGGCAGTTGAATGGAATTTTGCGGCCACGGGTCTGGTGCTAGTGTTCAGCCAGGTGCACTATGAACGCTCCCTTTATACAAGCTATTACTACTAGCTTGGCCAGAGATGGGCTTCTACCGGCAAGCTGGCGACGCGATACCGAGTTGGACATGGTAGCGGGCTTATTGGTTGTCTTGAACTTGAACGTCGGTTGCCATGCAGGTTCTGTCAGCGGCGCATGAGACACATGCAGGACGAGGTTTCACTCACTCCACCGTCGCCGTGCGGCTGTTGGTTTTGCTTTTTGGTTAGAAGAGTTGTTTTGGGCTATTCCTGGCAGCAGTGCTCGCATACCGAGTATTGCACATGGTCACACCAGAAGCAATGATTGACGAGGCCAAAGGCCGCAAACCCCGTCCCAGAGACCTGCTGCGGATAGCTGAGATGGCGGTGAGGGCACTGAATCTTTCTGTCCTATGCGTGGACTCTTTCTGTAGAATGAAGCTGCATGCGATTTCTTCATAGCCCGCTTGGACCGGCGCGGAGATGCCCAAGGCGCTCAGCGACGGTGCGATGAGTTGTGATTCAACTTTTGAGTGGCAAATCAACGTCATGCCGATGAGGATCTCACAGTGGTCGAAACTAAAAGGCCACGCGCATGGATTTACAACGTATTGGCGTGAAGACCTGGCAAATATTGCGCCCAAGATTGAATAGAGCGAGGACAATCTGTATGGGACGCTCAAAGGCAGAGAGCTAATGAACTTTAACCACCTCGCGTGCGCATACTCTATTAATTAGAGACACGCCCAACCATTCGACTCGGTGTTGTGCTTGTGTCGAGTTGTGGCATAGATCTTGAACTCCTTGCCTCACAACACAAAATAACACGACGCAGTCACGGCACCAATCCCGCAATTCCTTCGCCAGGTTGATTGTGTACACTTGGCTCGCCGTTGGCCCTTGTCGGGTACGTTTGCCACACTTGTGTACTCGAACGCGGCATCGCACTCGGCAGATTGCTCTCGCAAACGAGGCCAGTCAGTAGACACCGGAAAGCTGTCAAGACGCAAACTCGAAATGAAACTCGTATTTATCGCGCAGTCAATCGTCGCTTTGGCCGCGTCGGGGCAACACCCATTGGGAACCACTGGTGCCGGCCACGCCGTGCGAAAAACACCATCCACGCCCGACTTTGCCAACTTTACGACAGATGCCATGGAAGAATGGCGGGTGCCGGGCGTTTCGATTGCCGTAGTCGACGGCGACAGAGTCTTTTCCGAGGTTCGCGCCACGCCACCAGCCGGGAATCTAGTTGAAACTGATGTTGAATGTTTACACACAGGGATTCGGCTTTGCGACATTGCCAGACATAAAGGCTACTTCGGATACGCTCTGGTCTACGGGCTCGACAACCAAAGCCTTCACTGCTGCCGCACTGTCCCTTCTCGTCGCCAGCAAGAACTACTCGGAGCTGGCCCAGGGCTGGGCAACGCCCGTTTCGTCCATTATCCGCGACGACTTTGTGCTCTTTGGTGCGTGGGCCACTGCTCACATTACCCTCGAAGATGCCGTCTGCCATCGCACAGGCATCCCCAGGCATGACTGGTCAATCCCCGATAGTGTCAACGGTCGGCCAGCTACCATGCGGGATCTAACAAGAAATCTCCGACACCTTCGCCCCAGCGAGGAGCCACGGGTCAAGCTGCAGTATTCCAATTACATGTTTGGAGTCCTCTCGCATGTCATTGAGGTTCTGACGGGCAACGGGCTGGAGCGTGTGTTGCGGGAATACATCTGGGCGCCGCTGGGGATGAACAGCACATCGTTCGGGGCCGGCAAGGGCCGCAAGACCCCCGAGCGCCTGTCCACGGGATACTACTGGCATCCTAGGAAACAAGAGTTTGTTCCCGTGTCACACGAGCCCCTGGACCTGTTCTCCGGGACCGGTGCCGTTGTGTCATCCGTCACTGACTATGCCGAGTGGCTCAAGTGCCTGCTGCGTGAGGCGGATCCATTCCCGAGCGCCGTCCACCGTGATATCAGGCGACCTCGCATGATTGGCACTCCGGAGCAAAACTTTGGACCAGACGTCACCTTGTACGGCCTGGCCTGGGAGAGGACGACCTTGCACGGCTCTGTAGCTTACAAGCATGGGGGAACCACGGCGTCCGGCGGTGCACAAGTCATGTGGCTGCCCGACTTGAAGTACGGAATCGTCGTCTTTGCCAACTCCGGTGCTGCTTCGCGTTCCCTGAACAACATTCTTTCGCTTCGATTGCTCGAGGATAGGCTTGACATTCTCCCAGAGGACCGATACGGAGCTGCTGACAAGTAAGTTGAGCATTACCACCGTGTGCGGCGACGAATCATTCTGCACCCATATCGAAATTGAAAAAAGAAGTCAAATAAAGATTTTAAAACGCGTATGCTGACTGGGTGGCTCGCCTAGGATAAGAGCAGACAGGCGGCGGAGGGAGTATATTCTCACGCACCCAAGAGATGTCCTCTATCCAGAGAGACCGGCGACACCGCTGCCGCCCACCGCACCCCAAAGCCAACTAATAGGCAAGTACTACGAGTCAGGCTACGGCGTGATGTATCTCACCGAAGATACCGACTCGGACAAGAGCTCTGGTACACGGACGATTTTGGTAGGCCGTCGCCCCGACAGAGCGTCCTTGGGCCAAGTCCGCTTCGAGCATGTTTCTGGCGACTATTGGATCGCTCATTTGTGGGATCCAGACGTCGAGGACAGCCCCGACTATGGCGGCGGACACTTCAAGTTTGATGTCGGCGGGCGGGTGGCCGCGTTGGAAATCACCATTTCGCTGCCGGGGCAGGACATAAATGAAGGCACAATCACGTTTGAGAGGCTAGGGTAGTATGCGATGATGTGATTTGGGGGCGCTGAGATGTCGCCACGTACCATCATGTCAGTTTGCGTAAAGGCCAAATCAGGGGTCAAGCATGCCGAGGATGGCCGTCAGTACAGGTCCATGTTATAATGCATGATCTGGCTGCCATTCATGGTACAGGCTTGTCAGCCGTTCTTGGCTTTCTGATGCGTGGATACATGTCATTTTGCCAGCATGATTCTAGCTGGGTATTGTTTTTTAGATGTCTTCGTCGTCTAATAAACCTGGGCCAGGGAATGGCCTGCGGGAACTGAGCGATGTATTCTCCCGCCCGGATGGACTGTAGCTTGAAGCAGTGCAACTGTTTGCTGTATCAGGACAATGTGTAGTGTTTGAATCCATGAATGGGCAGTGAGCCATGCTGCTGAGCTTTCTTAATCGCGTGTGTGGAATCATATCTAGGGTTCCACGACAGCTGAGGTAATCGGTGCTGAGTTGACACGCAGAGTTGATGGATGACGAGTCGACGGATGCTAAGCTGACAGATGCTTGGTTGGCAGACACTGAGTCGACAAATGTTGAGCTGACAGGTGCCGAATTACAGATGCCAGGTTAACACACGCTGAGTCGATAGATGTTCAGCTGATAGGTACAAGCCAGCACACGTCGAGTCGACACGCATTCAGCTGAGGGATAACGAGTCGACAGGTGCTAAGCTGACAGATGCCAACTTGGCAGACGCCGAGTCTACAGATGCTGTGTCGACAGGCATTGGGTAAATAGATGACGAACAGGCAGATGTTGAGCTGACGAGTGTCAAGCCGGCAGATGCCGGGTTTATAAGTGCCGAGTCGACAGACGCCTGGCTGAGTCAAAGGTTGCGAACCGGCGTCGGTCCTCACAGATTGCACCCGTGAAAAAAAAAGTACGGTCGAACCGTCACTTCATAGTGACATGTTGACAATTCGACGGTCGGCCAGTAACAACAGGGACTCGGCAATTGTCAGATCAGCTTGGACCCTTGCCAATCCAAAATCCCTACCCAGTGCTGCAAATGACGTCATGGGGCTTGAACCGTTTCCGCAATCCAGCTCGTATCTCCAAACTTCTCCTTTTGTTGGCCGCTGCCGGCAAACCATGATCCACTTCATCGCAATGACGATACGAGGACTCCGTTCTCTTTACTCCGTAAAGGGTCCAACAGCGAGCAAACCGAAGAATGTCATTCACTCAAAACAAGATAAAAGACTTGTGTAGTCGCCGTCGTGACGGTTGGAGAGGCATCCAGCCAAGGGGTCTCATCTTGAAGCCAACAGTCAATCGCAGCCAGATTATCCTCGGGCAAAAATAATAATAAATAAAATAAAAATGACTTTGCTGGCGTCTCTCTGGTTGGGGGCGTTATTCCTAGCCCTCGGGCCTGCCGCGGCAGTCGCCAACTGGACTCTTCAGTCTTGGGACGTGATTGTTGTCGGGGCCGGCACCGCGGGCATCATTGTTGCAGACAGACTCAGCGAGGCGGGTTACAAGACTCTTCTTTTGCAACAGGGAGGCAATTCGTATGGAATTACAGGCGGCAGAGAGCGGCCCGGCTGGCTGGACAACACCACCCTGAGCAGAGTCGACGTCCCGGGACTGTGTAAGTGCAAACCGTGGGACAAAAAGGCGCCTCTGTGTTTCTCGCCCTAACACGCGACAGACTCGTCAATATTCACCAAGGAGTCGAGTTTATTGTGCAAGTCTGGCCAGGTAAATGCTTTTCAGGCATGTGCCATTGGCGGCAACAGTGCCATCAACGCCGGCTTGTATTTCCAGCCTCCGGCGTCGGACTGGGACGACTTCCATCCCAAGGGTTGGCACAGCGCCGACGTGGCCAATGCGACTGCGAACCTCTTGAAGCGCCAGCCAGCTCTGACAAGCTATTCGCGGGATGGTCGGTATTACCTCCAAAGCGGCTACGAGGCCGCAAGGAAGTGGATTGTCGAAGGCGCCGGCTACGAAGACGTCTCGTTCCTCAAGCAGGTTGACAAAAAGGACCGCGTTTTCGGCCGGCCCGTCTACAACTACATTGATGGGCAGCGAGGCGGACCTACCCGAACCTATTTGCAGACCGCACTGGGCCGAAAACACTTTCATTTGCAGACCGGCGTCCAAGTCACGTATATCAACCACGTCGAGGGTGTTACGTCCTCGGTCGTGGTTGAACTCGACAGCGGCGAGGAAAAGGTCATCAAGCTCACCAAGACGGGTCGGGTGGTGCTGAGTGCTGGTGCGATGCTGTCACCCAGGATTCTCATGTTTTCCGGCATCGGGCCGCGAGATGCTCTCGAAAAACTGGCCGCAAAATCCGTCACTCCTTACAATGCGTCCTCGTGGATTGTCCAGCCCGAAGTCGGAAAGGGCCTCTTTGACAACCCCAACACCTTCATTGTGCTCTCCGGCCCAAAGGTCGAGTCGTACGTCTACAAGTACGACGACCCGATTCCCGCGGATCGAGACTTGTATCTCGAGTCACGGAGTGGGCCCTACAGCTTTGCGTCCCAAACCTCTGTTTTCTGGGCCCATGTAGACCACAACGGGACGCGATCCGGGGTCCAGGGCACAGTCAGCTCTGCGGGTTATCGAGACTTTACGGGAAACAACACCATCACCCTGAATGTATACGGGACATCCGGGCTCCTTTCCTCAGGGCACGTCGAGCTCTCCGACAATGGACACTTTACCGCTCGACCGAGCGCCGGGGTGTACTACGGCCACCCTCGCGATATTGATACCGTCGCCAGGTTTATTCACTCGCTGTTTCAGCACCTCCCGCCATCAACCCCGACCGGACCGGCCACAGATGGGCTCACCCCTCTCAACCTGGCTCAGAATTCAACTCTGCACGAGATCGCGAGGTACATTGCGGATTCTTCTAATCCTTATGCAGTCGGGGCTGTTCAGCACTGGTCGAGTTCCTGCCGTATTGGCAAGTGTGTGGATGTCGACACCAAGGTCATTGGCACCCAGAACATCCATGTCGTGGACGCTTCCATTCTCGCGCCGCTGACTGTGAACCCCCAGTTTGGCGTCATGGTGGCTGCCGAGAAGGGCTCCGAGAGGATAAAAGCCTTGATGAAAAATGTGACGAAAGGGTTGTCGCGGACGAAGACGGGTATTGGCGCAACTTTGAAAACGCAAGAGATTTAGAGCTCATTGGAACGGTACTCGAGAGATGAACCGTGCAGAGGTACATACACACCTGAATAGTAGAGTTGAAACTTTATAGTCCCGTGTACTTGGGTGCCAGTCGTCTTCTTCCAGTCTGGGCAATTGTTGCGCACCCCCATCAACGTGAAATTCCACGGCGGGGGAGCATAACGCTTCACGCTGCTACATTCACCACCCATGGTCGTGCGGCTGAGGAAAAGAGCAGTGCCCTCGTCTTTGCGTGAATGCTCTGTAGTGGCACGGGATTAAGCTCACGCCTCCATATTGCGGGCGGGGAAAGCGTGTACTGGGTATGTATTCCGTGTTGCAAAACCGAAACGTCGCACCGCCACTACACCCAAGAGACTTGGGCAAACAAAAGAAAAATGATTAAGAAAGCTAGTCGTCAAACTCGAAAGCGACCATAGGCAAAATGACGAATACAGAAAGACCGACGGCCATCTCCGGGGGCTGCCTGTGCGGATCGGTGCGATATAGAATCAAGTTTCCCGAGAACCACGACTGGAACGACTGTGTTGGTCAACGCAGGTCTCGCTGTTTCTGGAAAACAAAGGCAATCCGCCCGTCACCACATGCCTTGGGTTGGGGACCTGTCAGTGCACGTGGTGTCGCAAGTCATTGGCTCGCTGCTATTTCGGTTTCACCAGCTCAAGAAACGTGACGTCGGGTCTGACGCAGATTCCACGCTCCGAACCTACCAGGCGGTAATCACCGTGGTTTTTGCACCAATTGTGGCAGTTGCCTGTTCTTCCGGCGCGAGGCGAGCCAATTCACCAACATGGCCGTCGGATGCTGTGACAAGGACGCAATGAAAAGGTACGGGACGCTGCTTACCAAGGCTGGAGTCATTTGTATACATGCAGTGAAATTGCTAGAGTGACTGACCATCCCGAGGGGGAGCGCATCGAGACTGAGCCCGAGAATTGATGCTTCTCGGTTTCACTTGTAGATTCGATGGGATGTAGCTGTGCTTTGGAGCAGCGTCAGGCGACTAGAGAAACGACTTGGACAAGTCGATTGCCTGACGATCAAGTCGGCATACTTGGCAAAAGAGAGCTTTCTGGCTGGCTAGCAATGATGATTATTTAACGGGGTTGCGAGTCGTTTGTTGGCTGCTGACCTCCAGGGTAGCACGACAGGGCGACCTGAAACCAGATAACCAAGACATGGTAGACGAGTAGAGCGGCATTCTAGAATTTCAAAGGCTCCTTCCCCCCAATGCACTATACGGCGGAGAAGTCTTGTTAGGGATCCAACCGTGGCCTGCTGGCCGCTGCTGGCCATGTGCATCATCTGCCCGGATGTTACAAGCCTTGTAGTAAATGTTTCCTCTGTAGCATATGATGTCGACTACTACTCGATGCTTGATTGGGACAACCCGGAATCCATAAAGATTTGGTATTGACACGTGCCTCACGAAATGTTAGATTCCTAAACGCAACACATGTAATGCAGATAGATACATACAAGGACCGCAGTGTCAAATAAAGTTGAATTCAAAAACCTGCCTGCTGGATCTGACACTGCGAAAAGTGCGTGAGAATGGCCATTATTGGCTGAGGCGGCCTTCTCGACGGAAAAGTCCCTGCGATAAACCAGTGGAGCACTGGAATTGGCCTGCCGATAGAGTTCTGGAATATTGATATCATATCGCTTCTCGGGCGATTTATCGTGCCACTAGTTGTCCAAGGAAGGGCATCCCTGCCCAACTGAAAAAATGCTGCTGTCCAAGTAAATGTCTCTCAGAGGCCCATCATACGCCTTCATGCTGTTCTGCTTAAAATGACCAATAAGTCGATGGATACGACGACACGCTTGGAATTCGCCTTTGAGTTGGACACGTTCTGGCTCGGGGCCAGGGCCCTGGGTTTGCCTGCCATATTGGTCAAACATCTTGTGCCTTTGGCCCACTGTTCAATTTTGGTCGCTATGCGTCAAAGCTCATTGATTAAACCGAGGAATTAGGACAACCCGCCGCAAGGACTCGATGAGTCGAGAGTGGACGAGCCCATTGTGGTGTCGTGACCAGTTTCCGCTTTGGGAGGACGAGGCTAGGCTTGATACAGGGCTGGATCCGCAGATCTCACTTCCCGCCGCGTGCCAAAAAACTCCGAAACAACAGACGATGAACCGCGGGCGGGCACGGCGATGGGCTTCCTAGTTGGGCATTGGCCGGATGCCCCTTTCTTGGACTCTTGGTAGTGTGCTCGGCATGATACTAACTGAGTCGTCTAGTGTTGCGCCAGGAATTATGCGGCCCCACGCCAACACGCTCGTCTTCGGTTGACTTCCGAGCATACCTACGAGGACTAGCCGCACCGTGCCTCTGCCCCGTCCTTATTGGGAGCTGATGATTGTCTGCTGTGAAGACGAGAGCCAGGAATAGCCCGCTCTCTCTGACGACTGTGAGCAATTATTTTGCGGCCTCGGGAAAAGGCGAACGCGAAGAGCCAAGCCGGGCCGTGGGCTGTCAACTGCAAAGCCAAGCTTCGACAACAGTCTGGAATAAAACAACAGTCTGGAATAAATTGTCCCGCACCCAGCAGGGGTCGAGCAGGACGTGCATTGCAGCAGGCTAATGTACGGATTCCTGGCCTGGGGGAGGGCTTCGGCTGGTCCAAAACGTGCCCAACACACTCGGTGCAGGTTTCTTCTGACGGATCAGCAATGGATGGCCGTAGGAGGGTGTGAGCTGAGGCCTGATGCGAGCATGATGGGCGGCAAGCGGTGATGCTGCTGTTTCAAGACAGCCGCCGCAGAGCACTGGCCGCTGCGAGCGGTTTCCGACAGCGAGACGAGACCTGCTGATGGCTCGTTTTCCAGAATACAGCGATGCTTTGACTGAGGCTGGTTGGCTCGTACCGTCAATCTCAAAGGGGCTGTGTGGGTGGCTCAAAGCGTGGGGGGCGTTGGCACTTACTGTACGGAGTACATTTGACTACACGATGTACGCAAGCCGTCGTCGCAGGCTGCAGATGTCTCGAAAGACGCAAAGGAGACGCCACCCAACACTCAATGTTGCAGGATGGAAGGGCGGCGGGATGGCGGCCATCAATCAGTGGATGAGGGAATCTCGAGGATGGAAAATGTGGAGATGTGGAGATGGAAGTATGTGGACCCCAGAGGGCTGAATGCACATAATGTCTCGAGAACAAACCGCCATGAATTATCAAATAAAGGAGAGCACAGACAGCGGCGAGGCAAGCGGGGGTTGCAGACCCTCCCTTGATGGCATTGGAAATGCTCTTGTTGACAGTCTGGCCTGTACGGCAGAATGAATTTGCGCATGAACGGGTACCTGAATACCTAGACTGGCATCAGGAACATGCACTGGTGACGTCTGTATGTGTGGTCGACACAAAAAGAGGCGCTGGGGCATCTGGTTATCATTTCGCCTCTTTGCAAGTGCCTGCGTCTCGCTTCTGGGTGTGCGTCCTCGCTGGGGCAGTGATAACAGGGAGCTACGTAGAAAGGAGGATGGGGTCCCAGGCATTGCACCTTGGTTGATGTCGACCCCTGCGAGAGTCTTTGCGCCTTTGTCGTCTTGCCCTGCCCTGTTTGGCCTTGAATAATAATAGCAGTCGTAGCGCAGCCAAGGGAAAAACAAGAAAAAAAGAGTGAAAACGAGAGATTGAGGCCAAACAACTCGTGTGCTGCATGTCCAGAAGCAGGCTAGTCCCGCGCCTCGCCACCCCCCTCGGAAGCGAGCCTCTTTTGACGAGGATTTTAACCTTTACGACTTAAAGGTGGCACCGGTCAAGCACCAGACTCCTTTTGTCCTCGACGCCAGCTTTTGATATTTCACTTCACTTGCATCATATCTGGAGTCTGGCCTTGCGCCCAGCACCAGGCTAGCATTCAAGCCACTGCGGCCCGGTCTGGTCTGGATGTGCTTGCCCCCGGTTCTCCGCTGCGTCCACCCGTCGAGCTGATCCATGCATCAACCCATCAACCCATCATCGCCCTGCCCATCTCACCATTCCAACTCGCCCTTTCTAACCCTAACTTGAGAATTGGCCAGGCAAAGGCTTCCGTCAATCTCTGGATTCCACAGCCCTAGAGACCGATTACATGCGTGCATTCGTTGCTGGTCCTGGTCCTGGTCCTGGTCCTTGATCGAACCCACCTGCTCACAGACGGCTCTCGTTTGGTTCTTGTGCTTCTTTTTATATTCCCTTTTGCTGCTGCTTCTTTCTGCCTCTGCTTCGCCTGCTTTGCGACCTTCTCGGCTTTGGCCATTACAGTTGCCGTCACCGTCAGCATCATACAAACCCGACGCACAACCGACGCACAACCGACGAGCAACGCACAACCTACGATACCCAGCTGGCCGGCGCAATTTCTTCCAACCGCCAGACTAATCCGCCAAGCGCAGCCGCAGTTCGAGGCCGTCTCCTCCACGTCCGAGCCAAATCCCCAGGTTTGATCGCCGACTGTGGCCCGTCTGTCTCGATGCTGACCGTCGGACGCCCGTAATGTATCCTCCCCTGGTTTGCTTCTTGTTCGCCATCTTCTTTGTGTCTGTCAGCACCACCAAGCTTCTGAGCCTCTCTCTCAACGCACATGTATTCCCGACCGGCGTCTTCGTCTTTTGCCTGCCGACATTCATCGTCCCCGACATTGTATTGATTACTTTGATTTGGATCCTGCTGCGTCGAAGAAATGGGCTGTTTGCCTTGCTTGGTTTTTGCCTGGCCTGCTTGATCTGGTAAGTTGGCACGCGAGCTCCCCCCCCCGTCCCTTTTTGGCCCCCCCCTCTTCCGCCCTGGGAAAATGCCGCCATCAATTTTAAGCTTCAGCAGTCTTGGTGGCGGGGCGACACCAGCGTTTGTCATTGTCATCGTTTCTTCCTCTTTCCTCAAGTGTCCTCTGTTTCTTTGTTTGTTTGCATAGCTTTGCGCCTGCTTCCGCGTTGCGGTATGCTAACGGGTGCCCGCCTTTGCGCATCGTCTGCAGCCTCGTTACTCTTGGCGCCGCCTCGTCTCAGCTGGGCTTCTTTTACCAAACCGGCGGCGAGATTGATTGGGGAGATGCGACGACGTTTGCCTTTAGCGAGGAAGGCCGAAAGGTCCTGCTGAGCGAGGGCAAGACGCCGCTCGCATTCACCTGCGTCATCCTTGTAGTCTCGTGGCTTGTCAAGTTCCGACTGTGCAAATTCGTGAGCTCAGCCCTGGCTGCAGTCGAGATTTATGCACAATCAGGTTTGTTCTGCCTACTGCCTGTTCTGGCCCCAAACGACGCCAAGCAACGGAATGACTAACCTGTGAGTCGCCAGTCATTCGATGGACTGCATCCAAAGTTGGACTCTGCAAGCTCGCAAAGGCAGACAACGAGTCCTCTCTCCTACCCACTCAAGAATACGAATTCGACTCGGATTCTGAATCCAGCTGCGATGGCCCGCCCGACACCACACGCCGACGTCTTGGCAAGACGGGTTCCGCGACCACGCGTGCCATGCACTGCCCAGGCTTCATTCCCTGGAGCTACGGAATTATGGCCTTGTCGGGATTTCTGGCCATTTTGATCCTCTTCGACCCCGAACGACCGTACGGCCGCATGTTTACCACCCTGCCTCTGCCGCTCCTGGCCGTTTTCGCTCCCAAGTCGATCGAGTGTACATCGAGCTCGTGGCCACTGCCCGATCTTATTGATAGCTCAAATTGGGAGTCTCCTCGAGGCAACTTTAGGGGGTGGGCGCCAGGCGCGGCGAATGAAATCATACAACAGTACCGAGATAGAAAACCCGACTGGCTGCCGTCCGAGCTACCCCAGGGTTTCGGTCGCTGGAGCGTCGAGGCCAGAACCGGCGACGTCAATGAGCTTCTCAAGAATGCGACGGGCCACCGCGACAGCAAGTGTCCCGATCCGCTCGTATTGGACCCGTATTACAATCCCGCCAACGATCCCATGAAGATTAGCAACCTGGAGAACCCCGTTTTGAAGCCGTTGGAGGGCATGCTGCAGGGCGGTTCAGTCAAGATTAAGCACATTGCCGTTATTTTGATGGAGAGCATGCGGGAGGAACTGTTTCCCCTGCAGCAGGGCTCCGGCTTCCACGACCTCATCATGAAGTCGCACGACGAGCTCGATCACGACGACATCAACGAGCTGCTGTCACACATCTCCCCCAATACTGAACGCATCACTGGCAGGTCCGGCAACTGGAGGAGCAAAAACGGCACTGCGTTTGGTCGCAAATATTCGGAGTGGAACGACAAGACAGAGGACGGCTTTGGCGGCCTTCACGTCGTTGGCGGCCTCACCACCAGCAGTGTGTCGACCAAGAGTTTGGCCGCCGTCCACTGCGGAGCTTGGCCCATACCCGTCGACATGTTTGAGGAGGCAGAGACGGAATGCTACCAGCCGTGCCTCCCCGAAATACTCGAGCTCTTCAACCGGCTCAAGAAAAACACGACTACTTCGGACAACTACCATGAGCAGCAGTGGTACCCGGCCTTCTTCCAGGCCGTCACCGACGGTTACGATCGGCAGGACAAGTTCGACTCCAAGATTGGCTTCAAGCACATTGTCAACAAGAACCGCATCAAGCAGGACAGCGAGAGCAACCCCGAGCTGGAAGAGATCAATTATTTCGGATTCCCGGAAACGGCGCTCAAAACGTACGTGACCGACTACATCACCAATGCGACCGCAAATAACCAGCGCATGTTCTTGTCGCACTTTACCAGCACCACGCACCATCCCTGGGCGGTGCCCAAGTGGTTCAACTCGAGCGAGTACATGGGTTCCGCGCACGGTCTGATGCAGACGCACAAAGACCTCAACAGCTACCTAAACACGATCCGTTTCAACGACGCGTGGATTGGCCAGCTCATGCAGATCTTTGACGATCAGGGCATCTCTGACGAGACCCTTGTTATTTTCGTGGGAGATCACGGCCAGGCTTTCAAGGAGGACTTTGGCAAGACGGGCACGTACGAGAACAGCCACATTAGCAATTTCCGCGTACCAATCACCTTTAGACACCCCAAACTACCCCGAGTCGAGCACCGAGTCAACGCCACGTCCCTCAGCATCTTGCCCACCATCCTCGACCTCCTTGTCAACACTGGCTCTCTGAACAAAAGGGACGCAGCCGCCGCCGCAGACTTGGTGCAAGATTACGAAGGCCAATCCTTGATCCGCCCCTTTGAGACGACGCGCAAGGGGCGGCGGGCCTGGAATTACGGTCTCGTCAACCCCGGCGGTAGAATGCTCACAATCACGTCTTCAGACACACCTTGGAGGCTGGTCCTTCCCTTGGATAAGAAGACAGAATATGTGTTCTCGGACCTCGGCCGGGACCCGATGGAGCGGAATCGTGTTTTGGAGTGGTCCATCAACAGCCTAGCATCAACGGTCAGAGGGAAATATGGTGATGGCGCTGCTGATTGGCTGATTGAAGCAGACAAAGTTGGTCTGTGGTGGGCTGCGGAGCGAAAACGACTTTGGAATTACAACCCTTCATCATAGACCATTTGCTGGTTTGTACCTTTTCTTTTGGATTTAAATCGATGGGGCCTTTGGTTAGAGCAATGAAGCAGCAACTGGGATGGACCACTTTTTTGTTTTGTTTTTGTTGGGAATCGTCCCTCTTCAGCCAGTCATAGACAGACAGGTCTTGTATATTTAGCATAACGGCGGGCGGGCCAGGGTTTATCAAGCCGCAGCCGGAACCAAGAGCATTTTTCTTACTGGGTGCACCCTTTTCAAGGTCTCCTTGGGATTTGTATCGTTCAGCAGCGGGATGCCTTTGATAGTGGTGTTTGAGAGGCAAGGTATAAAGTTGAAAGGATGTGGCATGGACGTGTCATGACATTGTAAATAGAAAATAATGGGACACATTTGGATATTGATAAAAATACAGCTACTGCGGTGTTTGAACTTGCCTTGTCTGGAATCGGTGCAATGCTCTGGTGATACGTACCAACAATAGTCCTGTCCGACGGGGACGGCTATGCGGATCAAGATGGACAAGGGTTCAATGTTGATTTGGCTGGGTAGATTGGCGTTGAAACCAGCATGCATGGGTGGTTGAAACGGGTCGGGAGGGTCCCTGGATGTGACGGTTCGTCGTGGCCTGGTCCTGGGCGTGGCACGACGTCGTGACGGGCGAGAGGTCGCTGAAGTACAAGTCGCAGCAGACCATGTAGCTCCGGCTCGGGACGGTGTAGGCCAGGACATTAACGCTGCAGTCGTTGCCGACGTCTGTGCAGCAGTAGTTGGCGACGCCCGAGGTGGTCGAGCCGCATTCCTGCTCGACGCGGCTGAAGACGCCGGCGACGGTCTGGCGCGTCTGGCGCGTCTGGTCGTGCGAGGCCTTGAAGTATTCCTCCATCTTGTGGGCGGAGCCGGAGGAGGCGGCGTGGCCGGCGGCGGACGCGAGCTGAGCGCCGTTTTGGAGCGCCGTCTCGGTCACCGAGAGCTTCTGTCCCGTGCAGTCGCCTTGGACCGTGGACCGCTTCATCTTGGCGGCAACCGCAGATGCTTGCAGTGGGCGTTCTCCTCGCGAGGGCAAGACAGGAACCTGTGAATTTGTAATATTCTTTCTCTTGTTTGTTGGTGAGTGATGGCCGGAGAAGCTGCCATTTCGGAGGCTGCGCGCTTTTTTAATTCCGCTTCCAAAGAAAAAGATGCATGGGTGCCGTGATGAAAAGATGGACGAATTGCATTGGGGTTGGCAGTCTTGTTCACCGTTGCGATCGATTTGTGTAACCAGTTGACGGATTGAGACAGGTTTAGTACAATTCCGCTCCTATAAATCAACCCTGTTGCATGAATTCGCGGTCGCAACTACAGCTACAAGCACTATAGAGCAGCCTACATATTCTTATGAATGAGATGCCAGAGAATTTTGCTATGGGCTTGTAACATGTTCGGAATGCCGCTGCTGCTTAAACTGCCTCGACCTCTCATTTACCTGGCTTCATTGACTAGTTTCCCAAGGCAATACGATTTAATGAAAACCTAGTTAAAATCTCTGAGAACAACGTTCTCGGATAGCGATAAGTTCATAGTCCGGCTCTAGTGCTACACTACTAGGCACACATTTTTAGCCGTGAGTCTGACGTTATGAATCACTAATTACTCCCAATGCCGTGTATACCGGTGGCGCGCAAGATATGCACGAGGCGAGCGAGTGTAGTCTGGTCAACTAAGATCTTAACTTTTTTGTTGAAAGGTGTCAATCTCATATTCGTACAAAAACGCCTCAATTCCGTAGCCAGACAGTTTCAATCTTGGACCAATCCTCTGTTCCATTCAATCCATTCCAAGCACCTAACCATACAACTAGACAACAAATTCAAAAACAAAAATCAAGAAAGCACAATCAGCCTAGCCCTAGCCTGGAAACAAGGCTTTCTACCAAAGAGACTCTCCGAAGGGTAGTGTATGAATCAGGCTGGAAGACGTCAAGCGAAACATGAGGCAGCTTAGCCCTGCCAACCTGGATAGTCACATGAAATCCCGGCAGATCCTTTGGGAGGATTTGTTCACCAGTAAGCTACAATATCGTTAGTGAGAAAAAGTCCAGAACCATGAATGGAGAGCCGCTGATGTTACCTTGGACACGGAAATCCTAAGCTGCTGCTCTAGCAGCGCATTGACGTGATCCGGTTGCAGGCTCGTCACATCACGAAAGCCTGGGTTTATGACTAGCCCGTTCAGAGGAAGCGTGATGGGCACCTGGGCCTTTGACTTGGCACCCTTGTCCTGTTGCTTTTGACAGTTCTCGCAGTCAGGTACCACGGGAGACGTAAAGTTGTGGAAAGAGCCGAGGGTGCAACACTCTGCTTGGTTCTGGTCATTGGTTGTCTCTAGATGAAACTCGACAGAATATGGTTCGCCGCCCAATGCAAACCTGTGATCTTGGGTCAATTACAGATGGACTGACTGGTTTCGGTTACTCTGGACGTACCGGTCATATTCGACGTTGATGATGTAATCTGGAAACGTCTCTTCGCCAATCCCGGGGACTGGAATTCCCTGGAAGACGGGCTGGAGCTTCTTTGTGTGTTTTCCGTATTTATTCTGCAAGTCAATCTTTAACTGGTCGGTAGTTGTCCTCACCAAGTCCTGGTAAGTATATCCGAGTTTCTCGCAGTATCTGGCGTCGTTTGAGTTGTAATATTTGCCCTCCTTGTTGATATGGAAAGGGGCGAGGTCATCCGTAGGCTGTGGGTTAGGGTCCGGCGTAGGCACGGCTTTCGAGCCAAACCACTTGTCGGGGTTCAGGTACTGCCAGATGGCGAGGAGTCGGTCGACGTTGCTGAGCCATTGTCAGCAGATTCACAGAGAATTAACCAACCGACAAACAGGCCTACCAATGGTGCAACCAGAAAATGGGATCGAATGATGCCACCGGGACATCTGCCATGTGGCCCGCTGTAATGGGGGGGCCAGTGACCTTTGTAGTAGAGGCCTTGCCCTGCTCGACCCAGCCGCCGGTCCAGACCTGGCGAGAAGGTAGAGTTAGTCTGGTTGGCCTCGTCTACCACCGCGGGGGAGGACGTACATGTATGTTGTTGTGTATCATCTCCAGTGAGAGGTACTCGGTAGCCTTGAGCCGTTCTCTCTCCTCCAACTGGGCACTGAGATACGTGGATGCGAATGTCTCGTAAGACTTAAAGTACACATCGGTGAGGATCCGATAGACGTTTTGCGCAATCGACACGCCTTCCTCCCAGTGCTCAGCCTTGGGATTCTTGAGAGCCTCCTCGACTTTGGAATTGTCCACAAACCCCTGTATCCAATCGGTGCGACTGGGGTCTCCATACCGGCTGGTGCCAATACTTTTGTTGTACTGGAGGATACTCAGCGTCTGGTCTTGAGTCAAGGGTTTGTGTCATGTACTCACAATGCCAGTGTACGCCTCGTAATTCAGTTGATATGGCTTCATTCTTGCATCGTTCATTGAGACCTCTTCCCCGTTGATCTTATTTGTAAACTTGTAAAGGGGGTTCTTGACGCGTTCCTTGTCCTTGCCCCCCAGCTTCAGGACATCGAGCTGCTCGAGCGCCACGATTCCCGGAACTCCAAATTTGCCAGTGTCTGACTGAGGGATAGCCCAGTCCCAGAAGGGTAGGCGCCAGTGCTGGGCCGCCTTCTCCCAGTCTGCCTTGACGGACGCATCGGTGATGCTGGGGATGAGCTCCTTGACCATGATGTTGTAAAGCACTTGCTGTTGCACGCTGTGAGCAGACGGACCTTATCGCGTAAATGCAGAGTTGCACTGTACCTCATACAACAACATGTACGGGCGATGCCAAGTGGGAAAGGTAATGACACCGTGTGTGCAGTAGAACCCGGCCTGGCCGGCATGATCCCACGGAACCCTGGGGTATCCGTGGATCCCTGCCGATGTAAAATGTCAGCATCCCTTGATCGCACAGAGACACATGGTGTACCCACCGGCAATCTGATAGTAGGATAGCAGCTCCTGCAATGGGTTCTTGTCCTGCATTTCCCGCAGAGCTCGAATGAAAAGGGACACTTGGATTTGATCCTCGGGGACTGTGGACGTCCACCAGCTGGAAATCTCCCGCCTTGCGGGGGTTACTTCCCCCGATGGAATCGGGATGCCGGTGATGGGGTAGTACTCATAAGACATGTTGGGCAGAAGGGCTGTCGGGGAGAATTGGATAGCAGAATCAAGAGGGATGGTGAGATCCTGCTAGGCGGGCGAGTTGCGCTCTCGAGCTGGAGACTACCCAGTGTTCTTTATACTTGAGATCATGTCTGTTCCACGCATCCCTACCCACCAATTTTTACAAAGTTTAAGAGGCATTCATCTACAGCAAACTTTACCAAAAGCCAACACTTGCCGTAATATTATGACTGTAGTGGCGGCAGAGGACTTGTGGTCTTGTTAGCAGCAATAACTGTCGTCAGGCATCAAATCACGCAGGGTTCAGGATTACATTGAGATGTGGTGAATAGAAATAAATTGCCAAGTCCTCTAGGTGGATAATAGTTGTGACAAAAAGTAGATGTGGAATTCATAATAAGTTGGTACTGCTTAAAGCGTCTAATATCAGGTAATAGTTAACACTGTTAAGAATACAAACGGTATTTTAATAAAATTTAATTTTTAAAAGACTATAATTTTTCTAAACATCTTGTAGATGCTATAAGCTTTGCGTAATATTTTAGCTTCCAGCAACCAAAAGTAATTTTCAGTACTGTACTCGAGATGTAAGCACTTGATGTGTTGGACGCCCTCGGCATGCAGAACGAGGCCGAGACGCCCGCCACGTGTCGCCAAAGGAAACGCCACCATCTACCAGTTCATAATGAGAGGGTGAGGAGTAAGCTTTCAAAAGTCGGTTGTTGCACAGCTATGAACCGGCCTTTCGTTACCACATAAACGCAAATGATGAGGGAACGCCAATGGCATGCTCAAAGGCAAGAGCTTAATCAAGACGGGTGTCGGGCTCTGCTGCGAGGGCATCATGTAAAGTCCCTGTTTACAGTAATGAATGTCTCACTTTGCTGTCCTTGAAGTGCCTCGACCGTTCATGTCGGCCTCCCGCTTCCGGCGCGCCGCACAGCACGACTGTTTTGGGATAGCGCCGAGACAAAGAAAAGAAGAGACTCTTGAGTTGCTAGCTAAAAGAGAGAATAACGGAGGTTCTCTCCGTAAAGGCTGACATGCTCCAATAACAAGAACCTTGCCTGAACCTTGGGCAGGCTCGTCAAAGTGATTCGGCGCGACCAACAAGTGGAATTACCTGCAACTCTGTTCTTGAGAGCCTATTGCCACCACTGGGGCCTGTGAAACACATGCAGTCTTCTATCCAATGACACCAGCTGCCGCAATGCATTCGGTGAGCGCGACCCTCGCTCGCAAACGGCATCAATCACGGCCCCGGGTGTTGTCGCCGTCAACGACCCCAAGTGGGACTGTCGGGGAGATTGCGTCGGAGAGCACTCTTGATGATTGCTGTCAACAGGGCTTCGAACGAGAGCCCGTTCTCCTCGGCGCTGGCTGGAAGCGGCGAATGGCCCGGAAGGAGGCCGGCAATCGGGTTCACCTGGGCGACCAAGGTGTCAATTCGCTGCCGGCGGCTTCAGGAACGGGATGTGCGGCGACAACTCACCTCTAGTACATTCGGAATGGCGTCGGCATCGTCAGAGTTGAAGCGAATGTCGACGCGCCCGGCATCGCGGCAGCCCAACGCAGTCCAAGTGTCCAAGGCAACTTGGCAGGCGGCCTTTACTTGGGGATCATCCATGTCGTGGGCATCGTTGTAGCGCAGCAGACACCCTTCGCTAAGCTTGCTCTTCCAGCTTGCAAATTCCTCCGTCGCATGGTATCCGTTCTCGGGGAACGTCTGCCAGATATGTTCCCTAATGCCCACGACTCTGCTGTGAGACCCGGTTCCCAGAATGCTTACCGTGAATTCTCTGCCCGACAGAAACGACTCCACCAATATGTCCTGCCCGGGGAACTTGGCCTTTAGTTTCTGGACTGCCAGCTCGAGCTCCGCATAGTTGTTCACCTTGTTGAATCTGTCGATTCCCTTGGACGAGCCCTCTGTGGCGGGCTTGACGAAGAGCGGATATTCTGGCGGCAGCGTAGCATGGATGCTCAGGTGCTCGCTTGGGATGACCATGAAGGGGGCGCTGGGGACTCCGTGATGATTCAGGATTATCTTGGCTCTCTTAGTATGCAAACCGAGCAGTACACATGTTTTGAGCACTGACCTTTGTGTTTGCCTTGTTCTGACACAATGCCATGGTTGCGGCGTCGGAAAACGTGTATGGGATCAGGTAGGCCTCCAGCAGTGCCGGTACGTGCGACTCTCTCGCGGGTCCATGGAACCCTTGCGCCATGTTAAAGGCCAGATCCCAGTTCTTGTGTTTCCCGGCCGCTAGGTGCTCGACGAGTGACGAGACCCCCGGGACGATGGTGACATCATGTCCCAGGCTTTCGAGCCCGGCTGCAACGGCCTTGACCTCACCGTCATGCGTCAGCGCGGCACACTCCTCATTCGTATAGCCAAGTTTGAGATATGTTGATCTTTGCTCGGCAACCAGAGCTATTTTGAGGCGAGACGTGTTGTTGTCGGCCATTGTTGCGTTGGGACGTCTGGCGTGAGGGGAGGAGTTGATTGTTGCGTCGGAACAGCGGTGACTATCTGTGAGCCCAGGACTCTTGGCCTTTCTACGGAGTAATCTCTTGTTATTCTCCTTGGGATCGACGGTGGACAAAAGCAAACATGGACGGGCGGTCCACCTCCGGAAGCAACCTCGTGGCTTGCGCTGGCGTCCACCAAGGTTCACACACCCTGAAGTTTCTATGCCGCAAAGATTAGCCCGTTGATCATGTCCGTTTCGGTCAGAATACTCCTGCCCCTCTTGGAAAGCGGGCTACCGTCCGACTGAGGTTGGAGCTTTGCTTTCAAAGTTGGACTTTGGGTCGCACACAGCGGTGTGACTAGGTTTTGGAGCAACGGCCAAGTTCATGTATCACAGTCTTTGGTAGTAAAGGTCCTGAGTCTTATCCAGGCACAAATGGACCAAGGAGCCTATTTATACAACAAGTGGGAGAGGGCTTAATGCACGAGGTCTTGTGATCTCAGCTGCCGTGTAACCACGGGACAAGCGTCTTGCGCTGGGGTTTTGTACATAATGATTTCGGGTATCGAGTAACGCGGACAGGGATATACTTTTATTCGTCGGCCGGAAAAGGCGCCTCTAATTGCGTGCTTGTTTTTAGAACCCAATTGCAACGTTGGCTGCGGAGGGTGCCCTGTTGCATGCTGCGTGGGCCGAGCAGTGGTTTTTCGGCAAATGTCATTTGTCCAAGTATTTTTACCACTAATTTCTATTATTCTCGAAGATCAAATAGTATCAAGACGGAATCGTATTATTCTAAGAGACTTTGTCGTCAACGTAATGAGCCAAAACTTGCTGCAAGATGCAATAGACTGTGAATTGTATTTTTAACATGTACCAAGGTAAAACTAGCTTTTAGATGTAAAAGACGATGAAATACATTTGTATTTACCATATCGGAAATGCGGCCGGTAGTAGCGCTGCGGAGGAACCCGTGTAGAGAAACGCTGCCGGGGCGCCAACTACAAGGAGCAGGTAGATGAGACCCAACTCTCTGCTTCAAATGAATATTGATCCGTTGTATATCGTGCACTTGTCAATCGGCTCATGTTGCCGAGCGCTGCAACTGTACACGCGGGAGTGCATTCGTCAACCGGTGCCGAGATCGGTGCCGAGATGAAAGGAATTATACCCATGTATCCCTTGGTATATGCGGATGCGAATTGTTGGATAGGTCTGGACCAACTTGATCAACCGTGTCGCCAGCTGTATTATGAGCAGATGCAGAAATACCCTCCGGAACAATTGTAGGTTCTGTCTTCTCTGTTATAATGGCACTAAGCCCGTCGCCAGATTTACCTTGTAACCAGACGACGCTTTTACCCGGCGACATGTATTGTGTCTGGTAGCTTACAAGTATGCTCAAACCACCGCGACAAGGTGGAAGGATCCGTTTCCGCACTCGACGGCTTGCGGATACATGGACAAGACGCCAATTTCAAGGCCCTCTCGCCAAAACAGCCAATCCTCACGAGGCTTGGCGTGGACCGTCATGTGTTCAGCTGCCAGGGGCAAGTAGGGGTCCTCGATAGTCTTTGGGCGCTTCTAGTATGCTCATGAAAGCTTGGCCATGGCCAGGGCATCGAATGGCGTCGCGAAGCGGCCGCCAGAACGGGGCAGCTGAACCGGATGGCGGCGGTTTGGGGTAGCTGCCAGGCACGATGCATGCGATGAAAGGGTCAACTCAACCGGTTCACAAGTTGTCAAACCGGGCCGTGGCTTGTGCTTGGCTCTTTGACGGGCAGACTGAGGCTCCGGGTTGAGCGTAAGCGAGGGCGGGTTTTCCAGTCATGAATTCTTGATCCTTCATACTGCGGCGATTCGACGAGAGCTGGCCATGGTTTCTTGGAGCTGGGTGGCCTTGGCGGCGGCGGCGGAGGAGGAGGAGGAGGAAACAATGGAGACACAGGCGGCCCTGGCAATAACGGGAACAAGGTGAATAAGGTGAATAAGGTGAATAAGGTGAATAAGGTGAATAAGGTGAATAAGGTGAATAAGGTGAATAAGGTGAATAAGGTGAATAAGGTGAACAAGGTGAACAAGGTGGCCGTGATTGCAGCCTCGGTCCTGGGCGCGGTCGTTGTCATTGTGCTCGTTGCTGGGCTGATATGGTTCTTTAAACGCCGCAACCAACGCAAACAGCGAGGAGAACAGCTTCCGGGCGACAGCACAGATGGCCACGCGGGAGGATTCGACCCATCCAAGTGTCCGAATCACGGCGGTGTTGCCGAATTATCCACGCCGTGCCACAATCACGTCTCTTCCATCAGAACTGCCTCCACAGCACTGGCCGAAATCCGAGGTACAGGGCGACGCCATGTGCGGACAGAATCTGCAAGAGTTATTGGCTCCAGCATCTGCGCACCAGGTCAGCCCGCAGTCGGCCACCCCTCCAAGCTACAGCTCGCCGACGAATGCACCGCCCCATCATGGAATTCACGCTGGTAACGGGCATTGGGGACCACCGCAGACGGAATCGTACGAGCTGGGTACCAACACGCCGCGGTCGTAGGGGCTGGGTGTGGACGGATACTTTTGATGCGAATAATTACGGCAAAAAGGCGTCTTATACCATGGTAGATGATCATGTAGCAACGGCAAGGTTATGTTTTCTGAAATGACTGAATAATTGGTGGTGCATCATCTCTAATACCGATGAAAAGGAACAATATATACACGTCATGAAGCTGTAGAGCTGTACGAAAGTTGGCACCCGGGGAGGGTTGGCTGAGGATGCTTCGAAAATATCCGTGACGAAGCAAGTCGGAGTCTACGGGAAATATTAGATGAGACTGGGCTGGTTGCCGGCGGTTTCTTTACCGAGTTGTCATTTAAACCCTTCCGGCTCTTCTTTGACGGGCTCGAGCGACAAGCCCGTAGGTCCCATCGGCGATGCCCCTTGTTGGGCGTTGTTGAGGAGCTTTGGCCGTGTAACACAATGCTTGCTGCGGTTCGTTTGCACCATCAACAAGATCCTTGACGCAACTGTAACTTGATGTCATGACGTGTCTATCCCGGCGCCATCCAAGCAGTCGGCGACATGAGGACGGACGTCTTGATTTTGGCGGCCTACCCCTTGCTACAGATGACAAGGTCGGTCGGCGCTACTCAAACCGTTGGAATCACAGGCCCAGGGCTTTTCTTGAGCCTTTTGGTCGCGATTATTTTTCCTAGGGCTCGGGTCAAAAGGAGCCCTGACACGGGGCTTCAGGGGCCCCGAGTAAGGGATTAAAGGGTCTGATCAAATTTGCAGGCTTCTCAAAATTTAATTGAGCCATGAACATCATCAAATGCTCCCTTTTCCGCTGTGCAAACTGCCGTAACATCTTCAAAAACTATCGGTGCGAACCCAGGGCTTAGCGTAACCCTGTCACACGCAGCTCTGAATGTAGTGACTTGCACAATTAATTCCCAGATAATCCGACGCTGCAGTCATCAATCATCATTCTCCTGCTCTCTCGGTCGTTCCCCTGGTGTGTCAAATTGGGTTTCCGGGGCTGCTTCCAGTTCAGCTTCAACGTCTCTTGGTTGAATTTGAAATTCCTTCTGTAGCAGCTGTAAGATGGCGGCATTACGCTTCCTAGCTGCTATCAAGGTCGCGGTATCACCAGCATTATTTGTGGCTTCAATGTTAGCTCCTGCGTCAAGGAGCCTTTGGAGGATATCGGTGTTGTCTCTTTTAGCTGCTAGTAAGAGCGCGGTATCACCAGCTTTATTTCTGGCTTCAATGTTAGCTCCTGCGTCAAGGAGCCTTTGGAGGATATCGATATTGCCATTTACCCTCTCGGCTGCTAGTAAGAGCGCGGTATCACCGTAATTAGTTGTAGCTTCAATGTTAGCTCCTGCGTTAAGGAGCCTTTGGAGGATATTGGTGTTGTCTCTTTTAGCTGCTAGCAAGAGCGCGGTATCACCAGCTTTATTTCTGGCTTCAATGTTAGCTCCTGCGTTAAGGAGTCTTTGGAGGATATCGGTGTTGTCCATCCCGGCTGCTAGCAAGAGCGCGGTATCACCAGCTTTATTTCTGGCTTTAATTTTGGCACCTGCGCTAAGGAGCCTATGGAAGACATCCTTATGTTCTCTCCCGGCTGCTAGCAAGAGCGCGGTATCACCAGCATTGTTTGTGGCTTCAATATTAGCGCCTGCGTTGAGGAGCTCCTGGACGATATCGGTATGATGCCATTTAGAAAATCCCCAACGAGATTAAAAATCTATCAAGTCCATTAGGTGTATTTTTGATCACCCCCAAAACTCTCTGTACGTCGTCCTCCAGGACTTCTGTCTGCTTCTGGTAAATGAGCCGGGCCAGTTCAGTGTGGTTGTTCAAACCTGCCATCGCGAATGCGTCAAAAAGACGAGTATTGATGGTGAAGGCATGTTTCCAAAAGATTTGCGCCGCCTTGTAGTTGCCGGTACGGGCCGCCCTCAGAAAGGCGGTTTCTTTGCATCCGTCTTCCTTTAATGCATCAGCACCATGTTGGAGTAGTGATTTGAACACTTCTTCTTGCCCGTTCTCCAAGGCCCAGTGCAGGGCTGTTCGTTTGCGGTGGTCTACTACGTCAATAATGTGGCACATCCTCTCAGATTCGAGAATCTTATTGACAATGGCGTTGTGACCCTTGAAGGCTGCTTCATGCAAAGCAGTCCGTCCATCATTGTCCTGGATAATCTTGTCCGTCACCTGCAAGAGTTTTTCCACACAGTCTAGGTGCCCTCGGTTTGCCGCCCAATGTAGCGCAGTTCTCCCCATTCCATCCTCGGCATTGACATCTAGCAGGGCTTCTTCGCCTGAAAGGCTCATCAGGCTTGGTCGACGTTTGGGCGCCGAACGTGTGGATAAAAGGAGTTCGATTCTGTCTAGGTCTCCGTTCATCGCATCTTGAATAAGCTCAGACTTCTCTGTAGGATTGCTGTTCGTCTGTCCTAGCCACTTCAGGATTGTCATCTTTGCTGGTGCGATTGGGGAGGGGGGGGCGTAGCCTTGTGCTAACTCGGCCGTCTTGGTACAGTTTGCGTATTTATCGCGCTTTGGTTAAAAGGACAAAAAGAAGAAAAGAAAAAAAGAGATTTCCGGCATGCTGTCAGATATGTGGGAACTAAAGCCATCAACTCCCAGTCCTCAAATCTTTGTGCCTAACCTACAATGACTATGGTTTCATAGAATGCCCAATATGTCTCAAACTTATGCAACATTCTGCTGCAGCATTGGTGCCCAGAAGAGAATATTTGTCTCAGATGTACGGCAACAACTAACCAAGCAGAGGCGAATGTAATGTAGCACAGTGAGGGGGATGCATTTGTTGCGCAGCCTCGTTGTCCGTAACGAACAACAAAAGTCTCTTCAGAAACACGTAGCACTCCACGCACCGTAGATGCTCTTTGTCTTTAGAAAACACTTCTGAGGTGTCATTTGCGAATCAAATTTTAGACGCCATGTCCAGAGCATCACTATGCCTGGCGGCTTGCCTGTCTCTCCTAGTTGCGGCACAGAACAGCACTAGACAGAGTATGCATCCAATACCAGGTGATGAAGCTGTTGGATGGCAACCAGGGGCTAGTTACCGGGGCACTTGGAAAATCGTCAGCACCTGTGTATCGACCATTACTGCCTGCACATGGAGCATTCAACATCTTAATATCCCGGGGCAAAGAGATGGCACATGGAAAAGGCTGTGGCGAAAAGTCAAGTGGATGGTTATAACGGTACTATTCCCTGAGCTGGTCATGATGCACGCCGTGTTCGAACTTCACATGGCATGCAAAGCCCTTCGACTGATGAGCGAGAACAAAAAGCCCGTGGAGTGGCCTTGGTGGTATCGGTGGTTTTGGATCTTACCAAGGTCATGGCCCTGTAGCCGTCACTGTCTACACGGGAACAGTCGAACACAGGATCTAGAGCATCAGGGTGCAGGATATACCAACAAAAGAGGCAATAAATGGACGCTTGTCCACTGCTACTTTGGCAACATGGGCGGCTTCATATACCTTGGACAACCGGAAACCTTTCCAATCACCGCTCTACAGATGGCGAAAAATCCAATTTTTAAAACTCCCCGATGTGTGCCCGAGGATATCGAGGAAAAAAGCAAGCAAGACTGGCTAGCGAAAACCTTTGCTTCCTTGCAGATCCTGCAACTGGTCCTCTCCATCATTACTCGACACATTAAAAAACTGCAATATTCACAGCTGGAAGTCGTCACTCTGGCATTTGCCATTTGCGGCGTGCTGATATACTTGACGTACCTCTATAAGCCCCAGAAGGTTGAGAGGCCGTTTTATATCGGAAGGATGGGTTCGCCAATATCTAATGATCTGGCAGCAGCGCGGCAGATCTCCTTGTCGACACCGCCTTTTAATCAGGTAGCAGTAGTTCCGGACCCCTTGGAATTCGAGGCAACATATGATAGTCTTTGGGCAATTGTGCTGGACAAGCAGCGCGGCCCGTCTGGCCGAAATCTTGACGTACCGCACAGGATTCCCAACGACAACATTCCCATTCACGACGGCGATTTTCACCCAGCCGTGTACTTTCTGGCGGTCGCCTCAGGCCTTTTTGGAGCTATACATGCTATCGCCTGGAACTCTGAGTTCTCTACCGAAGTGGAAAGACTCCTTTGGCGGATATCCACAGTGGTTACTGCCACAAGTCCATTCGTTGGCTTACTCGGGAATCCTCTCGCTCAGTTTACAAGATCATCAGGTGATTCACAGTCATTCATTTGTAATCTTTTGAGGCTGCTGCAGGAATACTTCTGGAAAACGAATGATAAGACGCAGGTCATGGAAGCAATAGAAAAACTGGAGGATGCTCTCGCGGACAACCGGCAAGAAACCTACTTGGAAATTCTATATCTCGAGTTGTATGCGCGCCCCTTTCATTTCCTAGACGATTTAGAAAGATTTCTGGTCGAAACAGAGGCCGACGAAACAGACTTTGGTCCTAAAAAAGATGAAGCATTCATTGAGCAATTCAAGAATCTTGCTCTTGTGATAAAAGACAAGGACAACCCGTCCAAGAGACTAGTCAACGCGGCTCGAGTGGGAAAATGGCCAAAGGAGTCACTCCTTCCTAAAGGATTCAACCGGGGACTTATATTCCTGACAGCCTTTTTGTACTGCTCTTCACGAGCCCTATTGCTGGGCATTTCGGTATCATCTCTTCGACTGATGCCAGATTCGGTGTATACACAGTCAGACTGGACCCAGTACCTACCGACCTTTGGCTCGAGTGGTGGCTAAATGCCGCTGGCATGTGCATGAATACGTATATTCAGTGCAAAATACTAAACGACTTTAATTGGACTTGTAGAATTCGCCAGCTACTACCTGGTGTCAGATGAGATGTACTTTGGCTAATTCATGGGCAAATCATGTAGCCGGTTGAAGTCGTTGGACATGACTCAATCACTAGCTTTGCTGGCTCTGTGGTGGCGATGAACTGTACCTCCACAAGCAGAATCAGTTGACAAAGGAGATGAGGAGATTTTTTCACAAGGAAAATTGCTCAATTTTTTTGTTTTACAATGTCATGAATACTTTTCTTTCAGCTAGCTCGTATTCTAGCGTGGTGGGCAAGTTCCTTGGCGGACAGGCTGCGTTTTATATGACTCTTCTTGCAGAGCAGACGTAATTGACTACTAGATTTAGCCTTGTGCGGTTATAAATTAAGCTGTTTAGTATATAAAGGAAAGGTTGCTCTATAAACCTTATAACGGACTAGTTTTCACAAGCTGTGCGGGTTCTCAGCCCAGCCCGCCAGACAGTCTTTGCATCTGTCCATCCCTTCTAGGTACTCTGTCAGTCAACATCTTGATCTGTCATGTTTCCAAGCTGTTGTCGCCTATAGCGCGACCATCAGCGGCACCCTTCTTGTCCCTCCATGGTGGTTGTCAGTGGTTGGGCTATCAAGCGTACTAGCAGATTTATCCAATTACCATGTCAGTCATGTCTTGGTCATTGTTGAAACTCTGACTTGATCTGTCTGATAATAAAAAGGTCAGTAAGCGAGACTGCTAGCGTCAATGTTGGCATGGTGGGCGGAGCGCGGTATGTTGTGTGTTTTCTGCCTCTTTCATCTTTATCATCTAACAAGCCTCGGCCGGGCAGTACCACTTTGTTAGTTGCTCTACTGGCCAATGCGGTGGTTGAAGACACGGCTGTGAATCAACGGCGGAACGATATTAGTGCTACACTGCGGCAACGGATGTAAGACGCGTGTCAGAAAACTGGTCGCATGATTGAATGCAGTTGCTGACTCTTCCGCCATGGTAAAGCGATACATCAATTCCAACCCACACGCAACGCTCCATCCGCCCGTACGTGCGTCAACATCCGCTGACGCCCCAAGTCCAATTGGATGCCTGGCTGTTGTAGTGGTTGCAATAGATGGACATGCCGTGCGAGCTAGTCAGCATAAATGTAAGCCGGCATTGCACGCCGAGTCTCTTGCCGACCTGCACAATGCTCACGCGACCATGTCTTGTCAGGATTCATTGTCGGTGTCTGTGAGAACTGTAGAGTTCTAGCTCCTCGGCTCGACTTGTATCAACCCCGCGCTGTAGAATCGATATATATGTTCATTGTATCCGAGAATTGTCTACGAAGGCGTTGAATAATGGAGCAATAAACTTCAGGCTAGGTCTCAATACATGGTTAGAGTTGGCATGACTCGAGACATGGCCCTTTACAAGCCGGTTGCTACTCACCATTGGACAACGTACGCGATTTCCCCATGATACAGTCTATTTCGCGGCTGTAAGCAGAAATTTGGGCATTTCAAAAACAGGGAACAAGTATGCCATACGTGACAAGGCGAAAGGTCGTGTTTCCCCAGTTTACGAGTCAGCTACAACCGGCAAAGCCCAAAGCCAGCAACAAACCCGAGAGCCCGACAATATGCAAGCAAGAGGGGGGATGGGGGAGTAGTGGTACAGCTAAACGAGGTCGGAGTGACGATTGTTTAGCTGCCCTTAAAAGTAAAAATAAATTTCGCGTCCAAGTAAAAGTCATTGTTTGATAGCTTGAGTCGACGAAGCAAAGATCGACGCAGGCTCCGAGAACAAACGCAAAGTTGGGTATTTGGGCGTGCCTGTCGTGTCTATTAAGCGGAAGCACAGAAACCAACCGTCTATTAGTCTTTATAAACCTCAGATCTAGACCAATTCTGCGTTCCATTGCATCAACATTAATGACTGTCATGTCACATGGGTCAGATGTGCTGTCAGTTGAGACTTGGATATTGACATTAACATGCATACTGGACACAGAATTGTACTGACAGGGTGCTTTTAACAGGCTAATAGAGGCGCAGGAGCCGGAGACATGCAGGCGTACTGCATATGGTTTGTGGAAAAAAAAAAGGGGGGGGGGGGGGGGGGGGGGTGTTTGGGTTTTTTAA